AAGAAGGGGCCAGTGGGTGGTGTGGTGGTTGGAGTGCTGGACTCACACATGGCCGAACATGGTTCAAGTCTCTGACCTGTTGGCTCACTTTCTCACTTTCCCTTTCTCTCTGCCTGTCTCTGGTCAAATTTTTAAAAAATGGAATTGAGTAAATGATTCTTTTTAAAAAGGAAAAAGAAGTAGTAAAAGGGGTATATAAACTAACAAAATTTGCAAAGACAGTTAAATTTCAATACAAAAAGTAAACACATGACGTGCTTAGCATAAGATCTGGAAGATGGTCAGTGCTTTATAAACGGCAGTGGTGGGACCAGCAGTTAGCACAATGGCTATGTTGCTGAACTCCCATGTAGTCAACCATGGTTCGAGTCCTGGACCTGGTGGCTTAAACGCACGCCGGGTGCGTGTGCGTGCGTGCCCAAGATCCTGAGAGGAAAATGGAGGAGAAGGGATTGCGGCATGGCCACCCCTCTGTGGGGGTGGGGTGGGGGTGATTTCTCGCTTTCTGTCTGTCTGGCAAGCACATACACCCTGTAGCAAAAAAAAAAAAAACTCTCGAAAAAAATAAAATAAAATAAACGGCATTGGTTTTCACCATCACCACCTCCTGCTGGGAAGTCTAAGAAACCTGGAAATGGGGAGGGTGAGGGCTTTCTCCCTGCCATACTCAGAAGGTGCACACACACTGCTTAGCCCCTTCTCGGCTGCCCTGAGAAGCCGGTGCTCTGCTCCCCCGGGCCTGCGTGATACTCACTCCTGCAGCAGGTCATCAGGTAACATGTCCAGCTGGGCATAGAGAGGTGTGGACTGGGAACCTGACTGCTCGAACAAGAGCACCGGGGAGGGAGGGGGCACCATCACCCCTGGAGTTCTCAGTAGTGCTTCTGTTTCCTGCTTTCCAGATGGATCCAGAGGAAACTTGTTCTGGAAGAGAAACAATGGAAAGACCTCTCCAAAGTGCTGTCTTGAGCCCATTTCTTCCCACCAACATTCAGTCCCCCAATGCCGCCCTGGCAGGCAATGCTTGGTCCAGACCTACGCCTGCCATTCCCACCAGCTCTGCACCATGAGGGCACACCTTCCCTCCCGGGCTCCCAGCCCTTTTGTATTTACGACATGTATGAATTACTTCTGTTTTTCCAGAAAGGTCATTCATTTGTTAGCTCAGCAAACTGAACACATATTTTTTGTCAACTGTGTGCCAGACACAGAGCTAGGAATGGGATCTAGCACATATGCTTGCCAGAGACAGAAGGGAGTACGGGAGAAGCGCCCATCACAGGGGATGGTCACACCACAATCCTCCCTTCTTTCAGGATTTTGAGCATGCATGTACATGTGCCTGTAATGTTTTTCAAGTTACCATGTCCAAGACTAGAACTATGCAGTCAGGTATGTGGTATCGAGCTGCCTTAACCACCACGTCAACATCTTGCCTGGGGACTAGTTTTGTTTGATCAAAAACTTAACATGGATACTCAAAAGTTCCTCCTAGCATCTCCTCAAGGTGCTCTTCACCTTTCTAAAGGGAGAAGACAGGGGCCAGTCCCATAGCACAGCATTTAAGCACTGGGTATGGGGAGCTGGATCCCATCTGGCCAACAGCAATTCAAATCCTGGGCCCAGGAATTTGAAAACATAACAGAGCATGTGTGTGCATGCCCCAAATCCTGAGAGGAGAGATAGTGGAGAGAAAAGGAATGTGGAGTGACCATGCACCATCGGAGAATGTGTTTGTGTTCACGATCTATCTATCTATCTATCTATCTATCTATCTATCTATCTATCTATCTATCTCTGGCAAGCATATGTGCCCTCTGACAATTAAAAACAAAAAAATGTAAAGAAGAGGTAAGGAAAACAATTCTCTGAGTAGAAAATGGAGGCCAGTGTGTGGCCTGGTATTGAAAGTGGCTGGAGCCCACATGGCCAATCATGCAGTTAGAATTCCAGACATGGTGGCTTGGGAGACACACCAGGTGTGTGTGCCCATATACCCAAAACCTCACAAGGGGAGAATGGAGGAGAAGGAATTGCGGTGTAACCATGGCCCATCATGGCCCATTGGGGGGGGGGGTTTCTCCCTTCCCCTCTCTCTCTGTCTCTCTCCAGTGAGTGCATATGGCCTCTGGCAAACTTTTTAAAAGAAAAGGAAGGAAGGAAGAAAACAGCTTGGTAATTATTCCTAAGAAAGGGCTCTCTTTTACAGATTTTTCTCATTTAGGGAGAGTAGGGATGGGAGATATGTGATACAAATTCACCCTGCAGTGTAATATAGTAAAAGTATGGAAGAACATTGAGCTCACCAGTGCCAGTCTCCTTCTATGTGGACTGGAAAAAATAGGCTTCTTCTCAGCGGGCCTTGAAATAAGAATAACCACACCTTATTCCCAGACATCTTAAATAGAAGCACCAGGCCAGCAGGTGGCATGGTGGTTGTGGTTAAGGCACTGGACTCCCACATGGCTGACTGAAGGTCGAGTAACAGACCTGGCAGCTTGCTTGCTCTCTCTCTCTCTCTCTCTCTCTCTCTCTCTCTCTGTCTCTTTCTGGTCAAATGAAATGATAATAAAAATAAATAAATAAAATTATTCTTTTTTAAAAAATAGAAGCACCTAGGATATTTGTGAATGAAAACCACCATAAGAGAGAGATCTCTCTCCCCCTAGTCAGTATGCAAAGATGGCTAGGTGAAAGACCAGCAGCACCTGCTGCCCCAGGTCCCACTAAAAAGACTCCTACCCTCACAACTAAATCAGGTTCCCATCATTCTCTCAGACAACCCAGTTATTTTCTTTCGTAGTTACATACCAAAGTAGGTAACATGCCTACATAACATACCTAACTATGTAACTTCTAATTTGACAGTACCAAATCTGTACCATAAAATTAGAATATACTGAGGCATGGTGATGTTCCTGATGTCCTGACCCCCACCGCCCCCCAGTAAGGCTCCAGGAAGATGGGGAACAAATCTATTTGGCTCTTACTGGATCCTCACTGCTTAGCACAGAGGAGATACTCAAGAAGAAGATTTTGCACTGTCCTCTTCTTCTCCTTTTTGCCTGCAATGTGGATATGATAGTTGGAGCTCTAGTAGCCAATTTACCTCTTAAAAGCTCCAAGGAAGCACCTCAGAAGACAGAGGCCATTGGCTCAGGATGATGGCTCAGGATAGAAGGAGCCATGGTCTCTGATTATCTCATGGAGCTGACATGGGCTTCTTCTACATTAAAGAAATGGACCCTCAGAGGTTTTATTATTTATGCCATTCACAAGGATACTTCAACACTCTCACAAAAAAAATGGAATGAAAGTATGTAATTATTTCAATGGAAAAGTTTTTTTAATTCCGTGCATGTTCTTTAATAATGTGCATCTTTCACGAATTTTAAAAAGATTTCCTCATGTATATACACACAAAAATGCATACATAAAGGACCACTCACAGGATTGTTTTAAGGAAAAAAAGAGAGGGTCATCCCAGTGGCCTGGTGGTTAAGGGAACCGGATCCTACATGGCTGAAGATGCTGTTCGAGTCCCAGGTCCAGCAGCTTTAAAAACTGTGGACGTGTGTGTGTGCACGTGCACACCCCAAGTCGCCATAGGCTGGAAAAAGAGAGGAGAAGGGATTTCAGTGTGGAATTGGAGGGACTGCATACCTCACTGGGGGTGGGAGAGCAGTTAGTTTTCCTCTCTCCTTTCCCCTCAGTTTCTCTCTGGACAGCACATGCATACTCTGGAAAATAAAAAAATTTTTAAAAAGAAAAAAAATGAGGGGCCAGTACATGGCGTGGTGGTTAAGGGTGCTGGACTCTCACATGGCCGACCATAGTTCGAGTCCCAGACCTGGCAGCTTGCTTTCTCACTTACTCTCTCTCTCACTCTGATCAAATAAAAATAAATAAATAAAGCTAAATAAAATAATTATTAAAAAGAAAATGAAAAAAATTCACAAGTCTCTTTATCTTTCAACAGTCACTTAACAAGAATCTGAAATCCTCAGTGATTAGGAAAGAAAAACCAAAGATTTTCCCCACAGTTGTGGAGATCAGCAAAATTTTGACTCGTTGTAAAACTATCTTTGTCACACTCTGCTTTGTGCACAAGTCTTGTGCGCTCTTCGTTTTTTTAAAAGAATTATTTTATTTTATTCATTGTCATTATTTTATTTATTTATTTATTTATTTTTGAAGTTGACCAGAGAGAGACAAAGAGAGAGAAAGAAAGTGAGAAAGCTGCCAGGTCTGGACTTGAATCATGGTCAGCCACGTGGGAGTCCAGCCACCTTAACCACCACTCCACCTGCTGGTCCCTGAGCTCTTCATTTTGTACCATGCAGTAGGCCTTGGGGTTGAAATCAGAGACTCAGCTTCCCCGGGAACTTTTTCACTAGGTGCTGATGGTAAATACAAAAAACTAAGAGAATGCATTTCTTTCTCCTTTTTTAAAAAGTATTGTTTATTTTATTTCATTAATTTATTTTTTAAACTTGCTATAGGGTATATGTGCTCACCAGAGAGAGACAGAGAAAGAAAAACAGGGAAAGTTGGGAAAGAGAGAAGCCAAGCTGTCAAGTCTGGGACTCAAACAGCTGTCAACCATGTGGGAATCCAGTGCCTTAACCACCACGCCACCCACTGGCCCTACAAACATTTCTTTCTTTTTTTGTTTTAAGAGGTTTTTGCCTTGGGGTGCATGTACTTGCCAGAAAGAGATGGAGACAGAGACAGTGAGAGGGAGAGTGGAAAATCACCCCGGGGGGGCACACCTTAATCCCTTCTCCTCCATTCTCCTCCTGGGATCTTGGACCCACATGCACATGCACCCAGCATGATCTTCAAGCCACTGGGTCCAGGACTTGAACTACATTCGACTATGTGGGAGTCCCGCAATGTAACCACTACCCCATCTGCTGGCCCCAAGCATTTATTTCTTAATCAAATCTCACAAATAAATTGGGGCCTATCTTGTACGCTATTTACTGTTTTGTAAAACTTGATGGAGAGAAGTCCCACAGCATGAATCTCCAAGTGCATTAAAACAGAATTTCAGTGTAGCAAGATGCAAATGGAAGAGGCCATGACCTGCTCTGCTTGGTCTCCTGTGACTTACAATGAGGCACTAAAAGAAAGATCGCAGAAAGGAGGCCCACAGGGACCAGCAGATGGCATAATGGCTATGTCACTGGACTCCCATGTAGTAAACCGCGGTTCAAGTCCCGGACCTGGTGGATTAAACTCATGCCTGGCGCATGTGCATGTGTGCCCAAGATTCTGAGAGGAGAATGGAGGAGAAGGGATTGCAGTGTGGCCATCTCCCCTTGAGGGTGATTTCTCGCTTTCTGTTTCTCTGTCTCTCTGTGTCTTTCTGGCGATCACACATGCCCTCTCCAAAATAAAGAGAAAGGAGGCCTACAGAGGACAGCAGGGACTTGTAGAATATAAGAGTCAAAAAGGCTTTTGAGTTCTGGACCTGACACTCACCTCACATGCTTCTCTGTTTCTTCTGGGATCCAAAGTACAATCGTATCTCTAACATCATTAGAGGAGGGCAGCTGTGTTTCATTCAAATCCAGCACTGAGAGCTAAGAGAAAGATACAAAGCTATTTGTGGCTTGAGTCCTGATGATATTTAGTACCAGACTAAGAGCTGAATTATTATGCCAACCAAAGAGTTTGGTGGCTCAGAGATAATAAAAAGATGTTTCCTGGGCCAGCAGGTGGGGTGATAGTTAAGGTGGCTGGATCCCACATGGCCAACTGCAGTTTGATCCTGGACCTGGCAGCTTGAAAAATCACTCCAGGCATGTGTACATGTGTGCCCAAAATCCCAGGAAGAGAAGGGAGAAGGGATTGGGGTAGAGCCTCCCTTAGGGAGGTGATTTCTCACTTCCTTCTTACTATCTCTCTCTGTCTCTCTCAAGTGAGCACACATGCCCTATGACAAAAGCCTTTTATAAAGCAAAAGAAGGGGCTGGCAGGTGGCATGGTGGTTAAGGGTGCTGGACTCCAACATGGCTGACCACGGTTCAAGTTCCGGACCTAGTGGCTTACTTTCTCTCTCTCTCTCTCTCTCCCTCCCTCCCTCTCTGGTCAAAATTAAATAAATAAATAAACAAATAAATGAAGTTAAATAAAGTCATTCTTTTTTTAAAAAAAAAAAAAAAGCAAAAGAAGATGAAAAGAAAAACATGCTGGGTGTGTGTTTGTGTATGACCACCCAAAATCCCAAAAGGAGAAATGGAGAGGGATTGTGTTACCGTCCCTCCCAAAGCGTTGGTTCCTTTCTTGTTCTGCCCACCCCTGGTGAGCACACATGCTCTCTAGCAAAGAAAAAGAGAAAAATGTGTTCCCTAGCCCCCAAAACATCTTCATAATATTTCCCCAAAAAGCCAGATCACTTCATCAGGTACCAGTACAGGTACTGTGTAAGAATGAGCATTGGAAGCAAGTAACCTTCCCCACTTCCTTAGAACATCGGATCAGGGGGATATATATCAACTCCCTCCCCACCTCACATGAAGGTGTCTTGGGGCTTACCTAGGGGAACACTACCCTTCTGCCTACTCCACTCCAAAGACCTAGAAATACAATGGGCAGCTTGGAAGCAGGGAGAGAAGCAGTAGAGAAAAAGCAAGGATTTTTTGCATTTACAACCTGTCTACAACCATAGGCATCTATTTAAAGCTAAAATGGTAACACTTCTCACATTTAGCTATTTAGCATACTAGAAAACTGGTGCTCAATAAAACTATAAATCCACTAGTCCATATTTCTACTAGGATACACAAAAAAGAAAAACCACTGGGCCAGCAGGTGGTGTGGAGGTTAAGGTTGCTGGATCTCACATAGCTGACAGCATAGTTTAAGTCCTGGACCCGGCAGCTTGAAAATTATACTGGGCACATGTGCGTGCATGTCCAAAATCCAAGAAGAGAATGGAGGGGAAGGGATTGTAGAGTGGCCATTCTCCCTCAGAAGTAATTTCTCACTTTTCCTCTGTCTTTCTGTTTCTGGCAAACTGTAATTGTACCTTATTCAAAGGTCATAAAATCAAATTTTACTAATCCCAGTCCACACTCTTTTAAAATAAAATATAACAGAATAGATTTTTAAAAATCAAATATTGGAGACACAGTGGTTAGGCACTGGACTCCCACATAGCCAACCATGGTTCAAGTCCTGGACTTGGCTGCTTGAAAATCATGCCGGGTATAAATGTGTGCATGCCCAAAACCCCAGGAGGTGAATGGAAGAGAAGGGACTGAGGCATGGCCATGCCCCCTGGGGGATCACTTTTCATTTTCCCTCTCATTGTCTTTGGCTAGGACACATACCCTATGGCCAAAAAAACCCCAAAACTTTAAAAACACAATCAAATACATCACTCACAGTTAGTGTTACAATTTTCTGTGACATTTTTGCTATAAATGTTTTTGTTTTGCTATAGGGCACACACACTTGCCAGAGGGAGACAGAGAGAGAAAGTGAGAATGCACCCCCCAGGAGGGATGGTCATGCCACAATCCTGTCTCCTCTACCCTGCCACGAACTGGCCCAAATAGTATTTCTTAGCATGAATTAAAGCTAAAAAAAAAAAAAAAAAAGTTTGAAAGTCATCAGACTAGATCATCTTAAGGCCCATTTTAGTTCTGATAATCCAGCATTCTAAATTCCCTGATTGTGAGATGTCAGGTTTACTTAGTAACGGAATGTGCTCTATGCTGGGAGACAGAAAACTCTCACCTATACTACATCTGCACAAATGGATCACACTTGTGTCTGGGATTTCTGGAAATAATAAACCATGGAAAGCCATTAGTACATAGCCTCGTATATAGTAAACGCCCAATTTTAGGCAGCTGTTATCATCATTATTCAGATTATAGTCACTCTCAAAAATAATGTTAAATAAAGGGAAAATATTTTATCTTACTAGTAAAGAGGAAATATTGAGAAAACACCTTTGTTAAGGTGTGACTTACTTTGGGAGGGCTGTTAGTATGCTTGATGGAACTTCTGTTGGGTAAACTCTTCTGAGGTCTACAAAATGAGATTTCCAAAGATGGTGAATTTACTGCTAAGAGAAAAAGCATCTACTTCTACAGAAAATTCTGGTTTTAATACATACCAAATGAATACAGGATCTCACCATCTTCTTAAATTTTGTTTTTCATGGAACAATTACTGAACAGGCATTGCACGCTGCAAATACTTCACAACTATTTCTTGTATCAAACAGAATTCATAGTCTACACTTCTTTTTCCAGCTAGGAATAGTCTAATTGTTGTAGCATGTAGCTTTGCTGCAGCCAGCCTGCAGCATGGTAGTTAAGGTGGCTGAATCCCACGTGGCCAACTGCATGGGTAAAGAGGAAATATTGAGAAAACACCTTTGTTAAGGTGTGACTTACTTTGGGAGGGCTGTTAGTATGCTTGATGGAACTTCTGTTGGGTAAACTCTTCTGAGGTCTACAAAATGAGATTTCCAAAGATGGTGAATTTACTGCTAAGAGAAAAAGCATCTACTTCTACAGAAAATTCTGGTTTTAATACATACCAAATGAATACAGGATCTCACCATCTTCTTAAATTTTGTTTTTCATGGAACAATTACTGAACAGGCATTGCACGCTGCAAATACTTCACAACTATTTCTTGTATCAAACAGAATTCATAGTCTACACTTCTTTTTCCAGCTAGGAATAGTCTAATTGTTGTAGCATGTAGCTTTGCTGCAGCCAGCCTGCAGCATGGTAGTTAAGGTGGCTGAATCCCACGTGGCCAACTGCATGGTTCAAGTCCCAGATTCAGTGGCTTGAAAAATATGGCTGGCATATGAATGCATGTGTGCCTCAGATCCTGAAATGAGAGAGAGATAGAGAAGACGGGAGTGTAGTGTGACCATTTCCCATGTCCTTTCTCCTCTCCCTCTCTCTGCGTCTCTCTAATGAGTGTGTGTGTTCTCTAGGAAGGAAAGAGAAGGGAAGGGAGCAGAGCAGAGGCGAGTGTGGTTCAGAGGAATGGTTGATATCAGAGAAGAAACAGATCTATGATGGTAGAGGAGCCCGATAGTAGAGAGGCTACGGCTCTAGAATAGGGAGATGTGAATCTACTTTCTAGTAAATGAAGGAATTTTTTTCAAGCTAGGACATGAGCAAAGCAATATTTTGGGGAGAGTAATCTGTTGGTCATATGTAAGATGGTTTACAGGGAATAGACAGTTCAGTTCAGGTGCCACTGCAGAAACTCACATATGAGGGAATGAGGACCAGGTCTAGGACAAAGGGTACAAGTGAGAACGTGAGAAATACAAAGCCAGAGAGGCTGGGGGCTGGCCAGGCAAGCTCTCTCGCAGCTCTGCACTGAGAGTGTGGCAGACATGGAAGTGTGTGCCTGGGTATGGGTCCTGGCTGGAGGTGCCCGTGTTCTCCGGAGATTCAAGTCGATAGCACCCGAAAGCATCCAACCTTCCCCTACTCTCTTTAGCCTAAGATATCCCCCAAGGTGCTGCTTAAGTGCAACAAGAGAAAAGAAACCACTACAAGGACCACCAGGAGGGCTCTGGTTCTGGCATCAGGGCATTCAAATTTTAGAAGTCGTAAGTTTTCCACAGACACCTACCCCTTGATTTCATGTATCAACAAAGAACTAACTGGGTGCCTTATACACTGTGGGACACTGAAAAAATAAAGCCATTGCTTTTGCCTTCAGGACCTTACAAACAGTTTCATATCTAAAAATAAAAGATGAGAAAGATGACATATGATGACCGCAGAAGCTGAGGAATTACTCCATCATGGGCTGAAGTGTGTCTCCCAGAATTTCACCTGTTGAAATCCTAGCCTGGTCTAGGTCTGCTTTTGCATTGCTAACAGAAAGACCTGGGTCATCTGATAAAGGAGAGAGAAGTGTGATTCTGGTGGCTGGAAAGGCCAAATCCTAAGCCTATAGCATGGACAATGGAAGCAGAGGATGGTGGGCACAAACAGACAAAGTCAGGTGAGATCCTGGCTGATCTCTCTTCTACAACCACCAGCTCTCACAAAAGCTAACCCCTTCTCATGAGAGCTAGAACACAGTAGGTCTCACGAGACACCTTTAGTCTATTCGTGAGACTATTGCCTCCGAGACATAATCGCCATGACCCAGTCACCACCCAGTAGGCCTTATCTGTTTCCTTTACAATACAGCTGATACAATCAAACCCCAACATGTGAATTTCTGGGGGACAGAGTCAAGTGACAAAATCCCAATAATTCAGAATTTTACTGTATTTGGCGATACAGCCTTTTAAGACATGACTAAGATAAAATGAGGTCCAGGGCCAGCAGGTGGCATGGTGGTTAAGGCACTGGACAATCCCATGTGGCCAACCATGGTTCAAGTCCCAGACCTGATAGTTTGCTTTCTCAGTTTCCCTCTCTCTGGTCAAAATTTTAAAATAAATATATAAATAAATGAGTAAATAAAATTAAAAATAAATAATTCTTAAAAAAAAAGATAAAGGAAGTCATTCTGAATAGGCTCTAATCTAATACAACCCATGTGATGGTGAAATGAGATTAGGACACAGGTACACACACAGGGAAAGTTAACTATAAGACAAGGAGAGGACTCAGAAGAAAACAACCACGCCAACACATTGATCTCAGACTTCCAGCTTCCAGAAGTATGAGAACACTGCCACTCCTCACTTAACAGCCCACATGCTTAACCACCACTGGGACATCTGACCAGTACTCCAGCACAGGGAGTCCCCTTTCTTAGTATCTGTGGGTCTCAGGAATCCCCTTTCCCAGTCTTTGTTTTTTCCCAGTCAGTCAGTATTCACATCAGGAAGGGTGCACAATTATGTAAGACTACATATTTCATTTATAAATTTGTACTTTATTGTGCCCCCATAGTGGTATTCAGAATAAATATAAATCATTATGCCAGATTTATATTATCGTATTGTGGCGTGTCTTGTTACTTTCTGGCACTTATCTAAAGTAAACTTTTTGTACAGGTAGAATTGCATCATTCTCGTGTGGTGTCATGTGATATGAATTGATAATACAAGCCCTGCGATGCCATTACACACCATGAGACATCCAGCTTTGAGCTCCTTAATTATCAACCAATTCACTTAACAACCTAGTCTTAAGAGCTTAACTCAGTCACTCAGTAAGGTGTAAATTTTAAGCTCCCCCAGTCAGTGGTATTTTACTATGGTAAACAAATATACTCAAATACACTCCCTAGCAAACAAATATACTCCCCAAACCAACTGAATCCTCCAACACAAATAGGAATGCTTTTCTTTGTTTCCCTTCTTTAACTAAATTAGGGTTTCTCCTTTTTTGGGGGCGGGGAGACAATTTTGCCACAGGCTACATGAGCTTGTTGGAGAGAAATAGAGAGAAGGAAAATGAGAAATCACCCTTCGGGGGGATAGTCACACCACAAGGTGTTGGCATGGGATTTGGGGAATGCACACGAGCATGCGCACATGCACACATCTGGCATGATCTTCAAACCTTTGGACCAGGACTTGAACCGAATGGTCAGCCATGTGGGAGTCGTGCTTTAACCATGCCACCTGTTGGCCCTCAGAGTTTCCTTCTTAATCCAGTTTTCTCAGTCTTATATGGTAAGGGAAATCACAACTCAGAATTTTGAGACAACAGGTTTGTCAAGAAAGATTCTCCATAATTTACCTGCCTTGAAATCTGGAACCAAACTTTGAATACCGACACAATAAAGAGTGAGCTTTAGTGAAGGTAAATTCTGATAAAAGATGACCAGCAAGTCCCTTGGCCTGGAGGCAGGAATCTGAGATGTCTATGATGGTGAGCGCTGGGAGTTTATCTGAGAAGCAAACCAGAAGAAAACATATCACATCTTGTCTGAAGAAAGGGAGTCAAACAGCAATAGTTTAAGGACCTTACAAGGAAGAAAATGGGCTAGCTAATTTACCCTCAGCTTCCACGGGAGTTTTGGAGACTGGGTTCAGGATTCGAGGATGGCCCGTCTCAATTCGACGGACAGTCGCCCAGCATTGCGGATGCTGACAAACAGCCATGTCACAGGTAGTTTCATCCCACTGGCTCTCATCTGGCAAGTCCATCGCTATAAATGGTTTAGCATAAAAGCCAACACTGCAGTTTTCCAGCCCTTTAGAGAATCAGGAACCACATAATTAGGGAGTATTATACATTAGCTATGCAGTCCAGGTCTAACTTGGACTCAAAAGCATAAACTATTTCTTTCAAACCTATATCAGTAAATGATGATTACAGGACAATTAAAAATTGGGTAAGATGCAGCTATGTATGAAAACATTTGGGGGAGGGGGTCAGAAGATGGTGTGGTGATTAAAGGTGCTAGACTCCCACATGGCCAACTGAGGTTCAAGTTCCAGATCTAGTGGCTTACTTTCTCACTTTCTCTCTCTTTCTCTCTGATGAAACTGGAAAATAATAATAATAATAAAGTTAAATAAAAGAGTTCTTTAAAAAAAAAAACCTCAGGACTAGCAGATGACATACTGGTTACATTGCTGAATTCTCACATGGCTGACTATGGTTCGAGTCCCAGACATGGTGGCTTAAAACTCACACTGGTGTACGTGCATGTGCGTGCATGTGTGTGTGTGTGTGTGTGTGTGTGTGTGTGTGTTTGTGCCTAATATTCCAAAAGGACAAAGAAGAAGGGACAATGGAATGGCCATTCCCCCTTAGGGTGATTTCTCACCGTTGCCTCTCACTGTCTCTGCAAGAAGGGATAGTGGAATGGCCATTCCCCCTTGAGGTGATTTCTCACCGTTGCCTCTCACTATCTCTGCCTCCAGTGAGCACACATGCCCTATGGCAAAAACCTCTTTAAAAAAAAAAAAAAGAAAAGAAAAAAGAAAACATCTGAGCACGAGGCAGCATAGCCAGAGTTGGGGTAAAGACTAAAAGATCTCCTAATTGGCCATTTAATAGCTGAGTCACCTGGGACTTAACCAATCTGGGCCTCTTTTCTTCATGTATAAAATGATAAACCTGTATCAGTCATTACGAAAAATCAGTTAATATAGGCTTGGCATACAGTTCAAAATAAATAGATCCCTCTCCTCTTCCCCTTCATTAATTATTAGGGAAGATGCCACCATTCAAAAAGCCTTCTTAAATTATAACCAACGTAGTCACAGAAGTGATTTGGTGGCTCAAACCCTTGAAAGACAAGCTTCATTTTTTTCAATATGCTTCAATTCCCATAGAGGCAGATCAAATACCTACAAACAGTAAATGAGTTTGTTTAAAAAGCAAATCAGTGGACCTGCAGTTGCATCAGAGGTTTTTCCTTGGCTGACTGTATGGCCTTGAACAAGTGACTTCACAACTCTCAGCCTGTTTCCTCATGTAAAGTGGAAGAGGGGCAATCCCTAACTGGGAATCTATTGTAGAAGCATTAAATGAGATAATGTACTTTTACATACACTATATAATAGATGCTCTCAGTAAGTGTTGTCGTCTTTCTCTACATAGAGCCGTTTTTGCCAATCACTATCAATTATTCAAATAGCTTTTTAAAAAATATTTCTTTATTTACTTGTGATTTTCAAGCCGCCAGGTCCAGGACTTGAATCTCAGTCAGTTGTGTAGCAATCTCGCATCCCATCCACCACACCACCTGCTGGCCCTTCAGATAGCTTTTAAGGACAGTGTCCATTTTTTTCTTTGTTCATGCAACATGTTTATTGACTACGAAATATGAAAGAGTATTTGTTTGGGGCATGGAGAACAGTCATGAATAAACTCCCTATTTTTTTTTTTTTTGAAGAGGTTTTTGCTATAGGGTGCGTGCGCTTGCCAAACAGACAGAGGCAGAGAGAGAGAAATCACCTTCCAGGGGGATGGCCATGCCGCAATCCCTTCTCCTCCATTCTCCTCTCGGGATCTTGGGCATGCACGCACACGCGCCCGGCGTGAGTTTTAAGCCACTGGGTCCGGGACACGAACGGCGGTCAACTACATGGGAGTCCAGCGGTCAACTACATGGGAGTCCAGCGACATAGCCATTACGCTAACTGCTGGTCCCAATAAACTCCCTATTATAAACAGTTTGTAATTTAGATCAAAGAGCAAACTATTGGCCTGGGACCTGTTTTGTTTGGGCAACACTTTAAATGAGTATTATGGACACTTTAAAACTGAAATAGTCCATAATGTCAGGTTTCTGGTTCCTTTTAGAGATCAAAATATCTGACAACAGTGGGTCCAATCTTAACTAGACAACTGGTTGAGCTGGGCATCGGACATCTTTAATCCAGGTCTGTTCCGTCGAATGGAGCATTCCCCTACCAGACCCTATGCTCTTACTGAAGCAATTTCAGTTACCATTTATGACAGTCTTTGCTCCATTGTTTTTCTAATAAGGAAGTATTTCTCTGTAACCATGTCGCTATCAAAAGCAAAAAAGCAAAAGCGTAGCTTGAAACAGGGTTTTCAGGAAAAAAAAAAAAAAAAGCAGCATTAACTCCCAGTGGGAGTGAGAATTTCTCCATACTTAACATGAAAATGATTAAAATGCCACTGAAAAATTATGGCAAAACCAATGCTTCTGACTGGGAAAGATGTTCGATGAACTGAGAATTAAATACAATTTTAACAGGGTTTGTATTTGAATGAAAATGTGATGCATTATTCTTAAAACTGGCTGCTTCTCACCCTTGCACTTTCAGTGTAAGGCTCTATTCCATGCCTCACACCAAAAGAGCAAGTAATTAGGAGAAATCTCCATCCCGCCAGCATCAGTGCCATGTTGGCAAAACAGTACTCATTTAAAAAAAAAAAAAAAATCTCTAGATGACACGTATCCTTTATACTATGTAACTGAAAGGTGGTAAGGGTTGGGCAGACCTGACAGCTCTCTCTCTCTCTCTCTCTGGCCAAAATGAAGAATACTAATAATAAGGCTAAACTAAATGAATGATTCTTTAAAAAAAAAAAAAAACAAAAACTAAAAAAATGTGGTAAGGCTGAAAGGTAAAGATGAGGGACTGGTAGGGGGTGCGGTGGTTAAGGGCGCGGTACATCTACATGACCGACCAGAGTTCAAGCTCCGGACCTGACGGCTTATTTTCTTACTTTCCCTCTCTCTCATTCTGTCCTCGAAAGAAGGAGAGAGAAAGGAAGAAAGAAAGAAAATTAAATAAAATAAGTCTTTTTTAAAAATAAATATGGACATCAGCTCTGGGAGACTTGTAAATGGATTCTCCGTTTACAACTTCCCCACCTCGTTGGGGAGAAAATAAATGGGAAAGGCTGACCTCGGAGGGTCACGGTTCTGCGGACCGACTCCGATGTCAACCCGCTAGGGTTCCAAAGCTCCTCCCGGCGCAGGGAGGTCGGCGGGCCCCGCCCGTCGCGGGAAGGCGCCCGGCCCGCCGCTTCAGTCCCTGCTCTAGTCTCCCACGCTGGCCGCCAAGGTACGCCGTTGCCAAGCAGCGGCGCAGAGCACGATGGGGAGCGGACGGAAGCCCCGGTGAGCCATCCTTAGTTGGGTGAGAAAGCTCCAGAGGACGCGTTGGAGATAAGCAAAAAAAAAAAAAACAGTTCTGGAAGGGACGTGCGGGACACAATAGGGCCGGACGGAGGCCCCGGCAGGGCAAAACCGCAGCGGCGCGGAGAGGTCGGGTGCACCAGCAACTGGAGGCGGAGGCGGGGCTGAGAGAGGTGGGAGGATATGGCGCGCGGGGCACTGTGGGACACAAACTAGGCAACGTGGGGTGGGACGGAAGCCTCGGAGGGTCATAAGGCAGCGACGCGGGAAGTCTGGACGCCGTAGCTGCCTGTAAAGGAGGCCTGCGGCAGAGGTTCGGGCCCGGCGGCGGCAATGGCGGAGAGGCCCGAGGACCTAAACCTGCCCAACGCCGTCATCACCAGGATCATCAAGGAGGCGGTGAGCAGCTCGGGCTGGAGGATGGGTCGGGGACGGACGAGCGGGCAGGAAGCAGCTTTGATCACCCTCGCTCTCCTCACAGCTCCCAGAAGGTGTCAACATCTCCAAGGAGGCCCGGAGCGCCATCTCCCGCGCCGCCAGCGTCTTCGTTCTGTACGCCACATCCTGGTGAGTCGGGCAGAGCGACCCAGAATTCAGGGGACGCAGGCACAGGGAGACACCCCCAGCCCTCGCCACCCCGGCTCATTCGTGGCCTGTAGCCCCCCAAACCCCAGTAATTGCGTTCAACCTCAGAGGGGAGGGGTTCACAGCCTTCATCCGGTCTTACGTGTGCGGAATCAAAACAGCAAAATCACTTTGCTTAGCTTTTTGTACAGGGAAGGACCAGTGTCGTAACAGTCTGTGCATCTCAGATTTAGGCTTTCCCATCCCACCTCTGGGTGCTCCTTTCCCTCCCGCTCCACGCGCTGCCAGAGGGGGCCTGACAGCCTGTGGCGGGCCTTTCTCTTTGTTCCAGTGCCCCCCCCGCCCCCCGCGCGCCCGGGGGGGCCCTGACAGCCTGTGGCGGCCCTTTCTCTTTGTTCTAGTGCCAACAACTTCGCGATGAAAGGGAAACGCAAGACTCTGAACGCCAGTGATGTGCTCTCCGCCATGGAAGAGATGGAGTTCCAGCGGTTCGTTACTCCGTTGAAAGAAGCCCTGGAAGGTAATGCCCTTTTCCTAAACCACAGAGAAGATGGTTCTTCTTTGGGACCTGCTCACAGGCCCTGAGCTTTCTCATCATGGCCCCTGGATGTGCATAAGCCAGTACCGTGCCTGGTTCCCTTACAACACCTCAGATCAGTATTTCTTTTTTCGGAGAGGTTTTCGCTATAGGGCGTGTGCGCTTGCCAAAAAGAGAGAAAGACATAGAGACAGAAAGCGAGAAATCACCCCCCCAGGGTGGATGGGCACGCGCCGGGGTGAGTTTTAAGCCGGGTCCCGGTCGCGAACTGCGGTCTACTACGTGGGAGTACAGCGACATAGCCATTACGCAAACTGCTGGTTCCCCTCGGATCAGTTTTGGGATGCTGGTCAGGTACCCGCCCCAGCTTTTCCAACTATGCAGTGGAGTTAGCCGCTGCAGCCATGTGGTTCACTCTTCCAGCCCTGACTCCTAACCCTCTCTCTCCTCCTTGTAGCATACAGGCGGGAGCAAAAAGGCAAGAAGGAAGCTTCAGAACAAAAGAAGAAGGATAAGGATAAGAAAACAGATTCGGAAGAACAAGACAAGAACAGGGATGAGGACAATGAAGAAGATGAGGAAAGGCTGGAAGAAGAAGAACAAAATGAAGAAGAGGAGGTGGACAACTGAAGAGGCCGAGGAGACCGCCACACCTGGCGAGGTACCACTCTGACCGTGGTCCCTGTTTATGTGACGCTTTTCCCTGCCGGGCAGAGTGGTTTTAGGCAAAAGTGCCTGAGAAGATCAAAATAAAAACTGACTAGAATGATCCAAACCAGGGCTTCCCAGACTCAGAGCATCCGAGTAGCAAAATCCTATTTTGCTTAATCCGTCTAACAATGTTGGCTTTTTGGCATGAGGGATTCTGAACAGCTAATTCAATTAGTCAGTTTGATCTCTCTCGTTTACTTATATGTGTGGTTATGTAGTTTTTGATCCTCAATCTTTCTGTTCCTCACTGCCCCTGTCCCCCCACAAAAAAGTAATAACTTCCATGCTGTCTGCTGTGATCTGGGTCACAGATTCAGTCAAGTCTCAGGAAAAGTCGGGGCTTTGATCATGGTCAGCTTATGTTTGATTGTACCCTATTTGGCACTAGCAACTTATTAAGAGTGGTCAGAATGGTTTTGTTTGAGAAAACTACTAAAAAGCTGTGGGAGAATAATGAAATCTGTTCTGTTGTCCCTTCACTTGATGGTAGCAGGAGTTGAATTTTGTTTCGGTAGACTCACTTGTCTGGGAGGCCCCCCTGTATTGCCTGTAGACGTTCGACCTGCCGGGTGACTGCGCTCTGGACCCGTATCCTCTTAAATCCACAGTGGAAATTGGAATTAGCTAAGCAAGGGTGCCAATGTCTTAGTGTTGTTATAAAACAGGTGGTTTAATCTCAGCTACACACATCACCGCTTGCCACTGTACAGCTTTAGGATTTCCTGTCACCTTTGAGAGGGTGTAAAACCCCAGGCTTTCTCTTCTTGTCCCTCTCCAGACTCGTGACCATAGCTTTTCATTCTTCAATTCCTGACAAGTTCCAAACTCTGTCCCCTCTAGGCCCGTGTTCTCCTCTGCTTCTCACTTCCTGTCTCTCTTCTGCTTCTCCTCCGCTCCCCATTCCCACTTTTCTTTTCTACTTCCATTTTTCATTTTTCTGTCAGTCTAGGAACTTTGGTAACTTGCTTACATCTCAGAGTGGGTTCCTCTGATTCCTTATTTCTCATCTCATGCCTTCATTTCTAAATCCTAAGGGAAATCTGATGGTGCTCAGGAATCTAATTCCTCCAAACCATCCCTTTTATCGTCTTCTAAAGGATCTCATTTGGCCTATCTTAACCTTTTTCGTTTTCTATTCAGTGCTCCAAGCACATTTTTGTTTGTCTCCAAGTTGAGCACTTGGGGGTTGACGTGTAGTAAAGTGTAGTTTGACACTGTTAACTTGTTACATGCATAATAAATAAGTGAAGAAATGATGAGATTATAATGTTTTGTACAAATAAAGGACAGTCTTGTTAAAAGTGATGACCCCTGTTTCATCCTGCTTATTTATGTTGTCCCTGGGAGAGGAATCACTGATCTTGCCTCGTCTAGTATTTGGGAGGATGGACTGGGCCAGATCTTTGGAAACATGGACGCCTGCATCACCTCAGGTGACCAGCAGATGCTGCTCATTCATAAGCAAGGGCTCTGCTCCAACCATAACAAGAGTTTATGATTTTAATTTATTTGTAGGTTTTGGCCATCGGCTGTGTATGCTCACCAGAAAGAGACAGAGAGAGGGAAAGTAAGATATCACCCCCCTCAGAGGAGATGGCCACACTGCAATCCCTTCTCCTTCATTTTTCTCTAAGGATTTTGGGTACATACGCATACACACCCAGTATGGTTTTCTTTCTTTCTTTTTTTTCGAGAGGCTTTTGCTATATTTTTTTTTTTTTTTTTTTTTTTTTTTTGAGAGGTTTTTGCTGTAGGGCACGTGTGCTCACCAGAGAGACAGAAGGGGGATGGCCATTCTGCAATCCCTTCTCCTCCAGTCTCTCAGGCTTTGGGGCATGGATGCACACATGTCTGGTGTTTGTTTTAAGCCACCGGGTCTGGGACTTGAACTACAGTTGACTACGTGGGAGTCCAGCGACATAACCATTATGTTATCTGCTGATCAAACCCAGTATGATTTTCAAGCTAGTGGGTTCAGGACTCAAAGTACGCAGTTGGCCATGTAGGATCTAGCACTTTAACCATCACACCACCTGCTGGCCCTTACCTCTATATTCTTAACCACAACATTGTATTACCACTCTTAATCCACATAGTAAATAACATTTCACAAAGCTACATCAGCAGTCATTGAGTCTAGTGGCTTTTTCCTTCAGAGCAGAAACATCCCTGCTTAGTTCTCGTGAGCACTACATCAGGCTAAGCCCTCCAGTCTCATCTGGACTCCTATGGATGCCTGTGGCTTCCTTTGAGCTGTTTCCTGCCTCCTCTCTACTTCCCCTGTGCTTGCCAAGTGGGTCTTCCTGGAACATTGCTGCTGTGTTATAGTCACTCTTGGCTTCCTGTTAAATCCACACCAAAATCACAAAGCCTACAAGTGGAAGGTTCACACTACAATCTATTTTAACCTGCTATTCTCCAACATAGGGCCATATGTGACAGTCAAAAATGAATCTTGGCGGGTGGGGTGGTTAAGGCCTCGAATCCCCCACATGGCTGACTACAGTTCAAGTCCTAGACCCACTCTGGGCGCATGTGTGTGCATACCCAAAATCCTGACAGAAGAATGGAGAAGATTACAGCATGGACATCCCCCACCCCCGAGGTGATTTCCTAATTTCTGTCTTTGTCTCTCTCTGGTGAGCACATGTATCCTATGGCAAAAACCTTAAAACACAAAAATGAATCTCAGGGCTGGCCAGAAGGTAGCATGGGGATTAAGGTACTGGATTCCACGTGACTGACTGCACAGTTCAAATCCTGGACCTGGTGGCTTGAAATTACCAGGCACATGTGCATGTGTGTATGCATGCCCTAAATCCTGAGAGAATGGTGAAGGGATTGTGGCATGGCCATACCTTCTGGAGGGGTGATATCTTAGTTTCCCCCTCTGTCTGTCTCTTTTCAGTGAGAATACAACACCCTATAGCAAAAAAACTAAAAATAAAGGAACAGATAAGTGCAGAGCTTGATAAATTTTCATAAACACATCCATGTGGCCTAGAGGTGGACTGTGGAGTCAAGACCTGTTGGGGGAGCTGTCTCTATCACTCGTGAAAGAAAGAAAGGTTTTTATTGTTGATTTTAAAGTTTTTGGGTTTTTTTTTAGATTTAAATGACTGTTTTTATTTGTACAAAATAAACAAGGGACCAGCAGGTGGCCTGGTGGTTAAGGCACTGGACACTCCCACATGGCTACCATGGTTCGAGCTCTGGATCTAATGGCTTCCTTTCTCACTTTCCTTCTCTGTCTCTCTCTGGCCAAATTAACATAAATGAATTAATGAATGAATGAATAAAATTAAGCAAATAATTAAAAATAAATAAATAAATAAACAAGTAAAATTTTACTTTGAGGACTTTCTGTAGTACCTGGATGGTTTTTTTTTTCCATTTTAAATATACATTTTAAATTTTCTACTGTAATAAACTAAAGGTAATTAGGCTTATGACACACTGCCATACTGTTTATAAACTTCAAAATGAGACTATACTAGTGCTATGGAACATAAGGGTTCTAGTTCTGACTACAGCTCCACTTAGGGCTAATAGCTAGTATTTGCTTCTCGTCTGTCAGGCACAAAGTCCTTTTATACACATTTTATCTTCACAATCCTATGGGCTATTATTTCTATTTAAAAAAAAAAAAAAACTTTGAGGGACCAACAGTTGGCGTAATCACTATGTCACTGGACGGCCATGAGTCGAACATGGTTTGAGTTCTGGACCTGGTGGCTTAAACTCACGCAGGCGCATGTGCATGTGTGCCCAAGATCCAGAGAGGAGAATGGAGAAGAAGGGATTGCAGCATGGCCATCCCCCCTGGGGGGTGATTTCTTGCTTTCTGTCTCTCTCTCTGGCAAGCGCACGTGCCCTATAACAAAAATCTCAAAAAAAACCCCAAAAAAAACAAAAAACCTTGAATAGGTTCAAATAACTTGTCTAAGGCTGCAGACCAAAACACGCAATCAGGATTTAAATGTTCTGTCCTACTAGTCTTAACCACTATGCCTTTCAAGTCACGCATTTGTCTCCAGCATGAAACAGGGTGTGAGTTGTCTCCTACTTGTTCAACCTGACTTCATCCTTGGCTCTTCTCCTTGGTCTTAAGATTCTTCTTTTATCTCTCTCCACGTTCCCATTTTCAGAGTAAACTTTTTCTACCCTTACCCTGAAATTCTTCCTTCTTTTCTCCGTACAATTCCTGCCTCAATGCCCCAAAAGCATTCACTGTGACACCAGCATTTGTTCTCTCTAACCTGTTAGTCATTGTACCTTGAACAAGGCAAGCCAGCAGAGCTTCAACTGGCCTCAGCTCACACTTAATAGTCCAAAATGCCTCTGCTGCTATGCTATTCACACAGATCCCTTTGCTAACTATGTAATAGTCTATACCTGGACCAGCAGTTGGCATAATGGCTGTGTCACTGAACTCCCATGTAGTCGACCGTGGTTCGAGTCCTAGCCCCAAAGGCTTAAACTCACGCCAGGCACACGTGTGTGCATGCCCAAGATCTCAAGAGGAGAATGGAGAAGGGATTGCGGCGTGGCCATCTCTTCTGGGGGGTGATTTATCATTTTCTGTCTCTCTGTCTCGTCTTTGTGGCAAGGGCACACACCCTATAGCAAAAACATCTCCCCCCCAAAAAATAAAATAGTCTATACCACAAACTCAGGCTCAATTTAATCTCATGGCTTTGTTCTGTGCCGTCCCTTCTGTGCTTAATACCCTCCTCCATCATTTAGTTTAAACATCAAACATTAGAATAAACCCTGTTTCCGTATTTCCATTATACTGCCACACTCAGGCTGATTGCACACATATATTTAACAGTCGCTTAACACAGGATGCTAAGAGCACTTTTCTTTACATTTTACAGAATGGCTTATACAGACTTTCTATTAATATTCAAACCATAGCACATCCAAACCTAACTTCTAAATAGATGCATGACAATTTGTTTAGAATTTAAAGGCTTAATGGCAATAATCAGGAGAAGAGTATGTAAATTTATTTTACATAACTGACTGAAAAATAAATTTGAGAAATACTAAATAGGATTTAATATGTCCTCATGCACCCTGAAGGAAGTAGTATCCGATTTGGAGGGGTAATCACTATGTCCAAATAATCTATTTGGAACTTTTCATGGAATCATCAGTCTCCTTTCTGTTGGACATGGTGCTGCCAGTCTCCTTAACTCCATAGCCAGGTCTTTCAATATCTGTAAAAACAATTGCAAAACTGAAGTGTGTGCCCCTCTTTCTAGCTTCTGGATAGACTTCTTTTACTAAACTAGTCAGTTCTTGGAAGGTTGCATCCATCCAAGTAGACCTGCAGCTTGCTGGAAGGTACGTTTCTTTTGGGAAAACTCAACCATCCGGTGGTGGTGGTGACCATTGTTGGAGGTGATCCTCTCTTTCTCATCTCTCCAGCTAGGACATGTGCCCAATAACAAACTAAAAACAAAACAAAAAATAAGCTTGGGGTACAGATTTTGAGAACTAAAATCTGAGAATGTTATGTAAGTCACTGGTACCCTCTAAACTTCAAAGTTGACTTCTCAAATGTCCCCTTAGAACGTTTTCAAAGGCATTCCTTTGCTAGGGTGATGGTCCCTGACCCACTATTTCACTCATCCAGGCCCCATAAACCGTACCAAATCCCTCCTGCCCGTGCACTCTGCTCCTGCCACCCCCAGAGGTTGGTCGGACCTCTCATTACACCCATCAGGGACAGTTCTGATGCCCCCATGCCCACGTCTTTCACAGCACATCTCCCAACGCATGACCTGGAATAGGGCCCGGGTAGTTGATTACGCTAGAATAAATTTTCTCTGAAAACTTGGAAAGTAATCTAGTGCTGAACTCCACAGCTATTAAATGCTTAATCTGCAAAAAAATGGATCTAGCTATTGTGTTAGGCATTATGGTGTTCTTTTCATTCTCCTGGCATTCAGTTTTTCTCTAACCAAACGATTAACCGGCGCCAAGTCTGGGCTAGGCTGGGAAGAGGAAGACTGAAAAGCGAACCCAAGGCTGTGACAGCCTCCGAGGCAGGATTCCCAGGGAGGACTACCCCCACCAAACCACAACACCCGCTGCGTCCTCACGTGGGCTACCCTCTGGCTTTGCACCCAAGCGCGTTCGGCCGCGCTCGGAGGGGCAGGGCCTTCGGCCCCTGGGCACACCCGATTGGCCAGGCCTCGAGCCCGACCTCCATGGACGGGGCGGGGCCCGAGCCGACCAGCCAGTTTGGAGAGTGCCCGTAGGGGGCGTGGCCTCAGCGCTGGCGGGGCAGGCTGTGGGGGGGTGCTTCCGGGCGAGCAGCCCCGCCCCCACGTGGGCCTCGGGAGACTGCTGCCGGAGGCTTCCGCCGCGGGAGCAGAAGCTCGGAGACCTTAGGGAAGCAGGTGAGCAGGGTCTGGACTTGGGGAGATGGTGGACTTGGAGGACTGCTCCAGGGCTAGGCGGGGCCGGGTTCCCAGATTGCGCTGTGCACCCCAAGCGCTGGCGGTGCAACGGGGTCAAAGACCCGGTGGAGTCCGTGTTTGGGCCGGATGGGCTTGCTCCAGCCGGGGTCGGAGGTCCGGGCTCCGCGTCTCCTCTGTCGCATCCACCCCCTTGGAGACCGCTAGAACAGTCTCCATCGATGCAGAGCCCGAAGTTCCTCGCAAGATGCGGGCGGTTTGGGGGGAGGTGGAGACATAACAGCCGCTTTGTGCTGGGCGGTGCACGCATTGTCCCATTCAGTCCTTACAACATTCCATTGAGGTCGGTTCAAGTCCCCACTTACGGGATGAAGAGACCGAGGTCACACAGCTGGAAAGGGATTGCACCAGGATTTGTACCCACGTCTACCAGACTCCACAGCCCCCACACTTAACCATCCTGCTAACAGCAGTAGCTAGTCCTGGGTCACAGTTCTTGCTCTTCTCACACTCCCCTTCACCCAGAGCTCTCTACCATCTCTCTTCTGCTAATCGGATTTAAAATCTCCTTAAAGTATGAAGGGATCATGGTGGGCACTGAAGACTGGGCAGCTGGAAACCTGGGTTCTAGCCCCAGATCTGCCCTGCTGTGTGATCCCAGGCCAGTGTCCCCCACTGGCTTCTGACCTCAGTTTCATCATTGCTTCAGTTATACAATCAGCTAGCTCTGAGAAGCCACTTAGCCAAGATATCCTACAAGTCTTTAGAAACTGCAGCTTTTCTTTCTGGCTCCAAGTGGCCAAACCCGGAGGAGAATAGGTTCTTCAAAGCCGTAGAACAGGACTGAGATCTCACTTTTATCTTTAATCCCTGAGTCTAGCACAGCGGCAAGCCCAGAGTAGATATTCAGGAAATGTGGGTTGACTGAGCGGACAGCCACTCAGTCCCTTTTCATAACTGTCTGATGGCTTCTCTCTAGCACCATTCTGGGGCCTTGGATTTTTCAACCCTGGCAACCTTCTACCTAGCTGGCCCCCCAGCTGCCTTCTCCCCAGCCAGTGGCAGAGCCTGCCAAAGTTGGCAGCAGCCCCTACCCTTCTGTGCCAATGAAATCCTCAGCAGAGCTCTTTCTCTGCCCCTCCTGGAGGCAGCTCTCAGGGCCCAACCTAGATCCCTTCCAGGTTGGGATGTTGCCTTCTAAGGAAGGAGATATCTGCATGATTGAGCTGCAACACCTGTATTTTTTCAGTGTCCTCGCTCCTAAAAACAAAGGTCCCTCCCATGGGCAGCTGAGCCACCTCTCTACTTTAGCATGTATGGTGGTTATTTTATTTCTCCACCACTTTAGATATCCTGGAAGACCCTGTGGCCCACAAGAGGTTTGTGCAGGTGTCCAGCCTCCTGGGTGTGGTGCAGGAGGAACAGCACTGTGCCAGGAGATCTAGTTCCACCTCAGCCCTACTCTTTAATAACAACAAAATTAGCTACACATTGACTATGTGGCTACTTGGTGCCAGGCACATACCTCATCACTATCTCTGATCTTCTCTGTAGCCTTGCAAGTTTGATATCATGCCCAGTCTGTAGATTATGTAATGAAATCTCTGAAAGGCCGGCAACTTTGCCCAGAGTTACGTAGCAGAGCACAGACCAGACCTGGGGCTGTGTTTGGCTCTGGAACGTGGTCCTTTCTGCACCATCTTATCCTGCTTTGCAGCAAAATTAACCTGTTCTCATGTGGGTGAGTGAGGTGCTGGATCTGATGATGGTCGCTCCTGTCTTCAATGTGGAGTCATAGGATTTAAGCTGTGGTTTGCATGTTCCCTTGATTTGATTTGGGAGAAGTGCCTTCCCAATATGTGGAAATCTCCCAAATTTTGAAGGACTTTGTGCAAACAGAACCTTGGCCTGGATTTGGTTCTACAGAATAAAAATGTGGCTCAGGGCACGTTCCCACTGCACAGATATTCATTCAACACTTCTTGTCATGGCATGAATGTGTGATGTAGGTATCGGGGCACTAGACCAGAGGCTAGGGATACAGGGGTGGTTCCTAGCTCTGTCCCTCACCTGCTGTGTGATCTCTAATGTCGCCATTTCTCCTAACCCCATTTTCTGCATTCACATGTAAGGAATTAAGCAAATTTGGTGATTTTCAACTTTTGTCATTTTTTCAGTATTGACTCCTGTTTTGTGGGGGTTTTTTGTTTTATTCTCCTCTTTGGGATTTTGGGCATGCGTATATCTGGATCTGGAGTCGGCCATGTGGGATCCAGCTGCCTTAACCACCATGCTGCCAGCTGGCCCTCTGGTTTCCTACATCTCTCTGTGAACGTTAAAATAAAACAGTTCAAAGTGGAACTGCTCTAGTGGGGCCTCGCCCTCTACTCTCACCCTCCCCACTTGCCCCAGAATCCTCAGGGCAGAATGTGGACAGGCAAGCTCTTTGGCAGCCATGCCCCATTGCTTCTGATAAGCAGGAGGCAGCTGTTTCCTCAGCCTCCAGCAGGGACTTGAGGCCAGTGAAATACAGCTTTGGATTCCAGAAAGCCAGGGGCCTGCCATAAAGGTTGTTCCCTGGAAGTGACTCAGAGACATATTCCTCTGGCTTTCTGACCTGACTTCTCAGAATGATGCTGAGCAAATCACTCCACAGATATTCATTAAGCACCTGGTGTAATAGAATGACTGTGCAGTGTAGTAACAGGGCCCTGGACCAGAGGCTAGAAGCCGCAGGATCGGTTCCTAGCTCTGTACCTCACCTGCTGTTACTTAACCTCTCTGAGCCTCCATTTCCTTCTTCCTAAAAGGCAGAACAGTTAATTAAATAAGATGTATAAAGTAGCAGATCAGCCCCATAGCCTCATAATTAAGGGAAACTGGATCCCATATAGCTGACCATAGTTTGAATTCCAGCTCAGCACTTGAAAACATGTCAGGCGTGTGTGTGTGTGTGTGTGTGTGTGTGTGTGTGTGCGCATGTGCTTTACAAAACCCCAACAGGATAGAGAAATGGAGGCAGGATTACAACATGACCACACCCCATGGGGGGTGCTTTCTCTCATTCTCTGTCTGTCTCAGTCTCTTCATCTTTCTCTGGTGAGTGTGCGTGCCTTCGGGCAGATAAATAAAGTACCTACTCCAGTGCCCAGCACAAAACTAACACGCCCAGAATATTTTTCTGTTGTTTTTTCCATCTCTCCATTGCCCAAAGCAGAAATAGTACAGAGAGAGTCCTACTGAATCGAGTGTTATTTAGCACTATGGGGTATAGTACATAAAACCCTACATTTGGAATCCAGAACAAATTCAACTTCTGACTTGGTCACTAAGTAGCTGTGTCATCTTGGACGAGTGACTTAACCCCTCTGAGCTGTGTTAACTCCTGGCACACACGAGAGCAAAGTGTGCAGTCTGAACCTCCTGTCTGCTGCATAATGCTCATCCTGAGGTTGAGACCTCTAGGGGAAGGCCTGGCTGCCCCTGTGTCAGGCGATGAGGCTGTCCCACCCAGGGGTGTGGTGGTAGGGCCAGTCCCTGTGTGGCTCCTGATAGCCCCAACCCCAACAAGGAGGTGGTGGTAGGGCCAGTCCCTGTGTGGCTCCTGATAACCCCAACCCCAAGTGGATGGGGAGCAAGCTAAAGGGGCCAGCAAGGTTGGAGAAAAAGGTAGCATCAGCCTCCATTTTCTGTGGCTTTTTAAAAATTTTTCTTCCATGGGGCCTTCAGGTAGCGTGGTAGTTAAAGGTGCTGGATTCCCACATGGCTGACCACGGTTCAAGTCCTGAACTTGGCAGCTTGCTTTCTCCCTTTCTCTCTCTCTCTCACTGGTCAAATTAAAAAATAATAAATAGAAATAAATAAATATTAAAAAAATTTTTTTTTCTTCCTGCTTGGCTCCTGGGTGTTTCTCAGACACCTCTAAAAGGAAGTGTCTGAAAAGGAGCTCCCCACCGCCCTCTTCCTACCCTGTCCCTGTCTCTGCTGCCCTCCAGGTCAGACAAGCTCAGAGCATCTACCTTGAGAGACTGACTGC